TTGATTTTATGTGCTGGCTTTATTTGTCACATTATCTCAGGGCTGAGGTGAGCACAGGCATGAGGTCTCGTGGGCACCTTAGTTCTCAAATCAATAAAATAAACATTATTTTCATGTTCTTTCCAATCCATCCCTCAAATGACATGCACAAAAAGTGAATATTAGTTATAGAGTCGATTTGTTTAGAAGAGGTTATATGGGTTCAAATCTCAGGGCCATCACTAATCTTGTTTGGTTCCCTCAAATTCTCCATTTCCATATCTCTAAAAGAGAAATGATGTAATTATCTCTATCAGCTGTTAGGATTCAGAAGAAGGATGTTCATAGAATCCTGAGTCTCACACACAGCAGGTCCTTAATAAGTGACTGGTATTATTCATATGATTGTAGATATTGTAATAGCTTAAATGGTTCTTGTCATGTTTTAACAGAAAAATAAAATGGGGATAAGGACCAGAAGGAAAAATCACATTCTTCATCAGAGTCCAAAGTTATCAGTAGAGCTTGTGTCCAAAATTGAAAAATATGTATGTAATCAAACATTTGCATTTTTAGGCCTTAAGAAGCATATTAGTTAACGTCAGGTGCCAATGGCTTACAGCTATCATCTTAACTACTGAGCAGACTGAAATCTGAAGGTCCTGGCCCAAAGTCAGCATAGGCAGACTCTCATCTCTCATGAACTAGCAAAAAGCTGGAAGTGGATGTGTGGCTCAAGTGGTAGGACACCAGCTTTGAGCAGAAAACGCTAAGGAAGGGCAGAAGGCCCTTAATTCAAAGCCCCAGTACCAACAACAAACAGCCATAGTAAGATTCTGGTGGCCTGTTTTTGTGGCCTTATTGTATTGATGTATGGTTTTCATCATCTTGTCATGTTGTCTGGACTTCTCTATTGTATTGTTATTTCCAGGCTGTCAGACAGTCTGATGGTCTCATCTCTGAAAAACAAACACTCCGAGAACATATTCACTTGCATAGAAAACCTCAGGCTTGCAAAGCCTGTTTGCTTTGCCATGGCAACCCCTGTCGCTTCCATCTGGAGAGTAAATGATGATGTCATTGTTAAGAGCAGACCAGGGAGCAGACTGAGAACCCAGTCTGAGCACAGGATTACAGAGAATTGTATTTCAGAGTCCAGTGATCATAAGAGGGAGGGAGAGGAGCTCTCAGCATAACTGTGGCCTTTCAGTCACACACACACACACACACACACACACACACTACATTGACAAGGAAAGTGGTGGGTTTGAGATTATGCTATCAAGAATAGTCTCTGTCTGTCACACATAAATATATATATAGTAAGAATACATGGAACTACCTCAGTGTACAGAGGCAGCCTTCTGCTGGTATTTAATGAGACTACAAATGGCTCTCACGGTCTGGTGGTTCTTTTAAGTCTTGGGGACAAAGTGCGCATGGTCTGGCCAGAGATCTGCTGACTAGAGATGGGGACAAATCTCAGAGTGCATAGGAGACAGGCTGCCTATGGGAACCGGGAAAGGGCTCCAGCAGCCTGAAGATACAATCTGTATGCCAACAGAGGCCCTTTGAGAAGTAAAAGGGGGGTACTGTTAATGCTTGTCCCAAGAGGACTGGCCTAACAGAGGACATCTCAGGCAGGGGCCAGAGGTGCCTGGTCCTTGCTGCTAAGCCATGGAAATGACCACTTCCTGCTTCCTTCATAAGACACCAGCTCTGATGTTTCAACTCCAGGAGTGTTGTTACAGGCCAACACATAGCTGGCACACCAGTTAAAATACCAGGTGAGAGATCAATATGGCACTCTAACATTAACCCTGGTGAAGGCTTCACATATACACATGGTCACAGCGACTAAGGATTCTAAGAACCAATCAGGACAACTGTTAAAATATAAAACAGGTCCACCTTCACCTCCACATCAAATGAGGCAGGCCCCAGAAGAGCAGCTCGGCAATGATCCTATAGAACCTCAGTGAGAGCTGGAGTTAGTTCATCCATCCAGAGCAATTAGGCCTTTCTATAAACTAGCGTAGCAGAGTGGCAGAGTCCTAGCCAAGCCTGAGGTGAGCCTGACTTCACAGCCTGTACTTTCCCTTAATAGCTGTGTGGCCCTGAGTGAGGTTGCTTAGTTGCTGGTCTGTTAGTTAATGCATATAAGTGATCTATCTGGACATGTTCTACATAAGGACTTGAACAGGTAGGCAACTTTCTTACTGTTTAACTTATTGATGGTTGTATCATAGCTGTGAATAGAATCCTTCAACTATGTTTAGATATACATATATACATACTTGTATATATAGTATACTGTGTGTGAATGTATCCCTGGGCGCTGTCCCTGACTTTGTTTGGCCAATGCTGTACTACTTGAGCCATAGCTCCATTTCTGGCTTTTTGGTGGTTAATTGGAGATAAGGGTTTCATGGATTTTTTTTCTGCCCAAGCTGGTTTTGAACCATGAAACTCAGATCTCAGCCTCCTGAGAAGCTATACCACAAACCACCACTGTCCAACTGTCATTATATTCTTAATCAATGGCAAACAGAAGGACCAGAGATCATCTCAAATGTGCACATTTGGGTTTTTGTTGTCATTTTGGCTTTTTTTTTTTGGAAACAGGGTCTCACTGTGTAACCCAGGCTTGCCTGGAATACAAGTCTATTGCTCAGCTTTCTGAGTGCTGTAATTACTTGGAGAGTCATTTTGAAAATGATATAAAACTTTCCATTTAGGCTACATGAACAATGGCAGCCCATGGTGGCAGATATTAGTTTCAAACTGTTGATTTAGTTTTCTAGGGCTGTTGTAACATCTTTCCAGGACCACATACCAGCTGGCTTCAAACAACAGGAACTTACTGTTTCAGGGTTCTAGAGGAGGCAAGAAGTCCAAAATCATGGTGTTGGCAGAGCCCTGCTACCTCCGCGACTCTAGATAGATTCTTTGTCTCTTCCAAGCTTTAGAGGGTGGTATCAATGCTTGGCGTTAACTGGCTTGCAACTGCACTACTCTAATCTGTTTGCCTTCACTTGGCCTTCCTGAAGTCTGCCCAGTTTTCCCTCTTTTCCTAAAGATAACAATCATGACTTCAATCCTGGTTTAGTTCCAACTGCAGAGACCTTAATTTTTTTAATTGTAATTATAAATGTGATGTACAGAGGGGTTTTAGTTACATAAGACAGGTAATGAATACTTTTTTTAAGACGGTGTCCCCTCACTCACTTCTAGTTTTTCCCTCCAATCCCCAACCAAATTATATAGTTCATTTCTCACATAGTGTCTAGTGAGTACCACTGCTGCATTTGTTCAGCCTTTCCCCCTCCATTTTTGACCCCCCTACCCTCCCAAAGACAGATAAATGAACAAACAAGACAAAAAGGAAAAAAAAACAACAAAGAAAAAAACTTTTTGTTTCCATTTCCTGGAGTTTGTTTCGATAAATATTCTTTTATGATCAGAGACTCATAGGCATTGCAGAGACCTTATTCCTAGTGAGGTCACAGTCATAGGCATCATGGATAAAATTGTCAAGAAACACAGTTCACCCCATAATAAAACATGTCAAAGATGAAGAGAGCCGAATGAAAGCAATGACAGAGAGACTGAGAAGAGTAAAAAGATTTGGGGGAATGTTTAAAAAACAAAAACCAACAAAGGCATGATTTGCGACCTGAGTGGGAGAGGGTCAGCACACAGGCATCTCTGGCAGTTTCTAGGGATTAAACCCTCATTCTAATGTCATACTTTCTCCATTCCTATTTCCTATGTCAAAAAGAATAGCTGGACACCTGTGGCTCATGTCTTAACCCTTGCTACTCAGGAGGCTGAGATAGTAGGATCAAGTTTCGAAGCCAGTCTGGGTAGGAAAAAGCATGATATTCTGATCTCCAATTAACCATCAAAAAGCTGGAAGTGTAGGTGTGGCTCAAGTGATAGAGGACCAGCCATGTGTGAAAAGCTATGCAATAGTGGCCAGGGTCTGAGTTTAAGCCCCAGTACTAGGACAAGGAAAAGAAGGAAAGAAGGAAGGAAGGGAGGGAGGGAGGGGAGAACTCCAAATTTTTTTTCCAAATTCTTTTGTAAGGGTTTAATCATCTATAAATAGACATAGTACAAGATGGTAGGGCACAGGGCTGCATAGACGTTCAGAGCATTTAAATTTGGCATACATTAACTATGTATGAGACAATTGGTTAGTCATCTGTGCCTATAATGCCCCCAACTGGTATTTTTTAGTCAGATAGAAATATTTTCTTGTGTAGTTGAAATGATAAGGTTGTGCTACCATGCCAGGCCAACTATATATTCTGACACCACCATGCCTCAACGCTGTGACTGTGTCCACTATGTTAATATTCTACAGGACTGGCTTCTATCACTTAACGTGACAATCTCCATTTCCATGCATCTCCCCACTTTTCTTGTCTGCTTGGGGATGCCTGGACTGCTTCCCCACTCAGCTATGGGAGTAGTGCTACACTACAGCTGGGGGTGCACTCCTTAGTCACCTGCAGTGACTGTTTGCATCTGTGTAAGCTCTCTGCTCTGGACCTCACAAGGCTTTTCTGTCCAATGAATAGCTGGGAAGATTTTCTCCCGTTCTGTAGGCTGTCTCTTGGAGTAAGAACGGAGTAGACACTTGTTGCCCCAGTCCTGACTCTGTACAGTTCAGTACTTTCAGATTTCTCAAATAGCACAATGTTAACTCTACGTTGGTCATATACAGCCTTTCCTATGTTGAGGTAGGTTCCTTCTATAGTCTTTTTTCAGGGATTTTTTTTCATCATGAAAGTACGTTGAATTTTGTCAAATTTTCTGCATCCATTGAAATCATCATGATTTCTGTGCATTTGTGCCTCAAGTAACCACTGATTTTCCTACGTTGAATCAAACTTGCACCTCTTGAATGAAACCGATTTGATCATTGTATTTTTTTTAAACATGTTCTTTAATTTACTTCATAAATATTTTACTGAGAATTTTTGCATCTATGTGCAATCAAGAAAACTGGTCTGGTGCTCGCTTTGGCAGCACATATACTAAAATTGGAATGATACAGAGATTAGCATGGCCCTGCGCAAGGATAACACACAAACTCATGAAGTGTTCCTATTTTTTCAGGTGATCCATTGTAAAACAACGAGCTGTACAAGACACTATGTTGAAAATGAACTTTACAACTTGGGGGTGGGGGAGGAGTTGGGGAGGGAAGGGATGGTAGGGGAAAAACAAAGGAAGAGGTAACAATGTACAATTCATTAGGAAATGTACTCATTACCTTACTCATGTAACTGTAACCCCTCTGTACAGTATTTTTACAATAAAAAAACATTAAAAAAAACTGCTTTCAGTGAAAAAAAATTGGTCTGTAATTTCCTTTGGTTGTCTCATTCAGTTTTGGTATCATAGAGGCTAAATGAAAGGCAATTTAAAAGCTCAGGAATCATCCATGTTGCTGGGAGCACTTACAAGGTCCTGGATCCAATGCCTAGCTCTTAAAAAAAAAAAAAAAAAAGGCTAGCTATTCAGGAGACTAAGATCTGAGAATCACAGTTCAAAGCCAGCTTGGGCAGATAAATCTGAGAGATTCTTATCTCCAATTAACCAGAGACAGTAGCTGGCAGTGGAGGTATAGCTCAAATGGTAAGAGCACCAGCACTGAGTGGAAAAAGTTAAGCATGAGCATGAGGTCTTTAGTTCAGGCCCCAGTAGATGCACCAAAAAGAAAAAGAAGAAAAGAAAAAAGAGAGAGAATCAATTTGAGTCAAGTCACAACATACAAGAATCCTAAAATTATGTCAAACATTTTATTGGTGTTTTATAGTAGGTCGGTTTAAACAAAACAATGTTGTAAAACAATTTTTTAATGACTATGCATACACGGACAGCCAAAAATAGGGAAAAATAATCCACAAAGTACAAGCTACCGCTAAAGATCATATGTTTGGATTTAAGAGAAATAATCCAGTAGATGAATAGTCTCTCATTCAATCTGGTAAGTTAACCAACTGCTCTTTGTATAAAACTAACACATTATAAGTGGTATAAATTTATCTTAAAGAGTTCACAAAAAATGTGTTCCCTCAGCATTCTCTCTGTTGCAATGTTTAGTCATTAGTTGTCTCTTGGTAGGAAAATAATATAGAATTTGTATTAGCAAATGAAAGTGCAAGGTAGTAAGTACAGCGAGGCTCAACAGCAAAAGGGAAGAAAAACAATACAGAGCGAAAAACACTGACCGATGCACACAGAGCAAGAGCAGCCAGGAAGGTCCTCGGCCTGTGTGCCACACAGTCACCACTTCATTGTATTTTTTATTGCTCTGAAACGAGCAAAACCATTGTTTTTAAAGAAATATGAAATCTTTATTCCCCCCAACCCCACATAATTTTTGATCCAGTAAGGCAAAGATAAGTCTCTCCCCCGCCACCCCCCAACCAGAAACATCAGGGACAGCAGCAATATACAAACATCAGAAATAGACCTGAATCTTCAGCAACATTCTCTCATGGGAACGTCAGCAGGAGTGCATCTAAGAAAGCAAAACTTTAATGTTGTTGCACTGTTCTAATTTATTGGATTTCTTTGGAAAAATGTTATAAATACATTAGTTAAGACAGTTAATTATTTTCTTGCCCTGAAAAAAAATAAGGTATTTCGATTTCTCACATCTTCAAACTTGGTAGTACATTTTTGTAAAGGGAGTTGCAAGAAGAATATGACAACTGGGTTGAAGAATGTCCATGTACAAGTGCCTGCATTACAAGAAACTGCTGATCAGCCTATAGCTGGCCTCTACAAAGAGAGCTCTTTGAAATAATATTTAAACAAGTTTAATTTAAACACCTCCCATATTTACTCTACTTGTAGAGCAAAGAGGTACTTACTTTTCAAGTAATATATCGTAAAAGGTCAATTTTTTTTTTTTTGCCAATTTTATTTGTTAAGGTTTTAAGACCAAAATACCTGTGTGAAAAAAACCACACCTAGTGAGCACATTTCTTTGATAGCTAAATGTTCTTGTCTTGTAAAGAATGCAGAAAAATATTGATTTGCTAAGAAGGAGCACACTGGAAAAAGTATTGAAGAATAAAGGACCATTTCTTTCTTTCTGTTGGTGGAAATTATTAGAAAAGCTATCCAGTCTGTTGTCTTTAGCTGGTTTTAATCAGTCTTTTCAAAATGATGGTCAAGAAATCTTTAGAAAAACTGGAGATGGGGGATGCTCCTTTGTAGCATGAAAGGAATTCCATTAATCATAGAAACTCTTATTAAATTTCTGCTTTGGTTCTTCAGAAGAAATGCTCATACAACTTCTATATGTGGAGACAAAAAAGAACACATTAATGGGACATTCATCTAAAATCTTTTTTAAACAGTACCATGGCTGTAAGTTACAATTTTACTGGGATTCAGTTGCAATAACAATAGGAAAACACTTCAATGTATGCAATATCAGTTACTTTTATAAACTGTATACATCTGTAACTCCCCTTACCTCCAAGAAAAGTACATTCGTTTGCCTTATATCCTCAGTACCAGATGTTTAGGGCTCCAAAGCCACGTTAGCAATTAAATAAATGTTTACTTATTGTCCTGAACTCACAAAGAATCTTTATACCATTGAAGGTTACAGGCTGGACTACATTTCCTAGGCCAGGTGTGGAAGGGTGGGAACAGTGAGAATGAAATGTCAGATAATATAAAAGCTGATTTTAGACCTGGAAAGTGAAGCAAAAAAAAAAAAAAAAAGTGGAAGTTCTTTGAATCTGAAACATGACAGAAACAGGAAATTGCACTGTGCTTCTTTCTACCAATATAATCAGATTGTTCTTAAAGGCATAGTTATTAGAAAGCCAGACCAGGGAGGAACTTTCTGACCTCCTTTCCCAGCCTTGAAGGTGGACTTCACTAAAGGGAAATCCTACTCTCAGTCACTGCACCAGATGAGAAAAGATCAGCTACATTTGGAGGGTGGTTCAACATTGGCTCTTCCACTTCATTCAAGGTATATTTATTATAGGCTCACAGATGGGATCCAAAAGGTAAAACAACTGTTCATAAATAATTGTGTGCCAACTCCATTTCCAGACCCTGCCATGGGCTGGTTCTCTTTATAATGGTGTAAAGACATACTGATCAATATGAACATGATCTGTTGGAGAGAATTCCACAATTCCAACTGGAATTACCTCACCTATTCCCGACACTGGCAGGACTGCAATATTTGATGTTCCTCTTTATTTTTTGGATGGTTCTATAAAGCTTCTGTTCTTTCAGCACAAACACTTCAGGCCACAGGTGAGTCCTAGGCAGTTTCAACAGCTACAGCCATTTGACAAGGGTCATGGGTGGTTTTCGTTTGTAGTATTTTTCTTCTTGCCTAATCATAACTTTCCATCACATTACATTTTTAAAAGATAATGGCGGCACAATTGCAATGGCTTACAAGTTAAGGGGAGGCATCTGGTCTGATCATGAAACATTCTGACAGCGCTTGATGCTGGGTACTGAGTTCTGCCCTTCAACACCTGCTGGTTGTTACAAACTAAATTTCTGCCCTGAGCAGAGAACAGGAGAGGCCCTAGTGTGAGTTGCCCAATGTAACTCTGAAGTCAACTTCTAAGATCCATGTGTCATTTTTCCACTTGTTCTTTTGAGGGACAAAGCAACCATGCATTTCCTCTTATGAGTCACATATTTTTGAGGATTCCAGAAGAGAATTCCAGGCAAGCTTACCTGCGGTCTGTTGTGTTTGCACACCATCTACCTGAGGTAGGGTTCCAAGTGTCCCTTCATCATCAAAGGCCAAAATTGGATTAAGAGGAATTTCTGGGCTCTCACTGCTGGGGACATCTAATCTGGATGGTTTGGATCCAATGGGCAAATTTATAATTTCTTCAAAAGATTCATTCTGAACAGATACTCCATTTTCATTGGGTTGTTTTTCCAAATTGGGAGTACTGTGAAATTCAAAAAAGAAAAAATAATTTACAAGTCAACATTAAAACTGGGAAGCACATTTTCAGAAAAACCAAAAACTGATATAAAATAGTTTCCCAAATTTATAATAGTCTGACTTTACTAGCAAAATGGTGAACTGTGATATATTTGTATCTTAAATGATTATAAACTGCTCATTTGGTTATAAAACCAAACACTGTTTCATCCTAGCATATGAGGCAGGAGGATAGCAAGCCAGGCCTACCTACATGGCAAGACTGTCTCAAAAATATCAAAGCAGGGGCTGGGAAGGTGGCTCAGTGGTAGAGCGCTTGCCTTGCGTGCCAGAGGCCCTGGGTTCGATTCCTCAGCACCACATAAGCAAAAAGAAAAAAGCCAGAAGTGGCGCTGTGGCTCAAGAGGTAGAGCGCTAGGCTGAAGAGCTGAGGGACAGCGCCCAGGCCCAGAGTTCAGGCCCCATGACCGGACCCAAAAACAAAAACAAAACAAAACAAAATATCAAAGCAAACCATGTCCCTGGTATTAGAGTACTTGCCTAGAAATTTTGGGTGTGATCCAAAATAGAGTAGTAGCACTTACCAGGGACTTCAAAGGTGAGACTCTCCTAATTAAAAGTGGAAAATTAAACAATTTGTACCAAATCACATAGCTACTACAGAGAGATGGTCAAGGATAAAGTAATTTTTTTTGAGAGAGATCATTTTGTTACGTTGTCCAGGCTGGCTTCAAATGATTCTTTTGCCTCAGTTTTCCAAGTAGCTGTGACTGTAGGCACACACAGCAACACCTTAATCTAAACGTATGATTTCTTGTTTCTGGTCATAGTTATTCTAATTGTAGATCTGCCCAAAGGTCTCAGTCTCTTAAAATAAGGTCTCTCTCTCTCTGCATAGTTCATAATTCATTATTCAAGACCAAAATTTTTAAACTTTTATTATTATTATTAAGTAGTTGTACAAGAAGTTCCCATTCTACAAAACTATATGAATACAAGGTGTCTGACAACATTGTCACCCGTCCCTCCTAACCCATCCCTTCTCCCACTTCAAGACCAAATTTACTTTCTGCCTTTGACCCCATTTGTGTGTGTGTGTGTGTGTGCGCGCGCGCGCACGCGCACATGCACGCACGTGTGCTAGGGTAGGGCTTGAACT